TTAACAGGCAATGTGGTCATGTTTATAAAACAGAAACCCTACAATGTCCAGCGAGTTCAGGATCCCGACAAACCTCTGTTGCCGTATCTCCGCCCTCTCCGCCGCCGCCGCGGCGCTCTTCTTCCTCCAAACCGGGATTCCGCACTCAGTCGACTCCCCGATCGCCTTGATCGCCGATTCCACCGTCTCAGTCTCGGCGAACTCCGCCAGCTCCGGCTTCCCCACCGTCAGATCCCCAATCACGTGGTACAGAAACACCGACGCCATTTTTGAACCAGATCTGCTATAACAGGGAGTGGAGGAAGATGAGGAGGAGATGGAATCGGGTCAGGGGAAAGGAGATTATGGCGATGAAGATGCTAATTAGAGGTGCGGCCATGGATTGAGAGGATTAATAAGGAGGAGGCGTGAAGATGAAGATGGGTTTGGGCCATGAGAAAGAAATGAATTCCAGTTTTTAATATGTGAACAGAAGTTTTCTCTGTGATTTCTTCTGTTTTGCTGCGGAGAGGGTTTCCGTTTAACTAGAGTTTGAGTTTGACGGAGATGAGACGGAGGATCATAGATGGAATGGCACCCAATTAAAAAAGACTACTTACTTAATAATTGATAATTGAAGACTATATACGGAAACCCCCCAGTTATAAAGGACCATTTAAAGAATTTACTCTTTTATTTTTTATCAATATACAAATTTGTAAACAAAATAATTTTAAGAGATAAGAGATCTTGGCTCGTAAATTTAATAGTAATCAAATTTGGGACGGAGAGAGTAAAATAGATACTCCATCCCTCTTAAAATAAAATATTTTCCGGTTTTGACTTGGTACAATTGTTTAGGAATAGATAGAAAAAAATATCAAGATTCTAAAAACACCCCTACTTTGACTTGGGGTGAATTCATTTGAGTCGGTGTTAAAATAAAAGAGGGACCGAAAAGGAAGGTGAGGAGAATATTTCTGGACGGAAGAAGTATTTGATATTGTTATACAAATAATTTTAATAGATCTATTTTGTAAAATATTTTTAACATATTGGACCGATCGTCTGATCCTATGTTTGCTGGGTCCGATATCCATCAATCTGATTGTTCTAAAATTCAATATTTAAAATTTGTTTGGGTAGGATTTAAACTTGTGACGTCTAGCTTTGTGACAATAGCCGAAACCAAAAGACGTGGTCGTTGTTAAGTTGCGGTCCACGCCGTGACCACATTCGTGACGAAAACATAATTAATTAAGGTTCCTCACCAATCACCAAGAGGCTAGATAGAGCCACACAAAAAGTAAAAATAAGTATGGCAGTAAAAAAACATTTGTATCCATGGATCTTAATACATGCACCATATAGTCATTCAAAGATATAAAGAAGTGTTTTTGAATCATGCCTAGCTAGCTATTATTTTAAAGAAAAAAATTGAAGAGCTAGGAGTAATTGCTCCGTTGCCATGCGTGCATTCATGCCTTTTACCTCTCCATCTCTTCCGATCCCTTTCAATTATGCATTGATCGATCATCGTCAGAAGCAGGCGTCTAAGAGGCAGCAACAACACAGAGCGGCCAAACTACAAAAATTAAATTATACTCCCTCCGTCCCATAAAACCTTTCTTCTTTCTTTTTTCATCCGTCTCATAAAACACTTCTCATTTCTATTAAAAAGTCACTTTTACCCCTTACTTTTTTATACCCTACCTATCACATCATACCTTTTTACTAATAATCTACCCATCAAATCCTACTTTTACCCATCACATCAAAGGACATTTTTGGAAATTCAATATCAAAATATACTCCCTTTAAATCTTTTCAAAAATCAAAACATTCCATGTTTTATGGGACGGAGGGAGTACATAATATGTTACGTGGTACTCTCTCTGTCCCAAAGTAAATTACTTTTTTGAACTACGTACAAAACCCCATGATTTTTAAAATGATTTTATTGACAAATTGGTATATATATAAATAAAAAAACAAAATTTATGTATTTAAAAAGTGAGGTTCTACTCCGTACAAAACAAGATGTGACAAAATATTTGATTTTTTTCTCAAATGATCAATGAAAACATGCAAACAAGCAAAAATTATCGAGAGACTGTAATAGTATTTGTTACGCAACACTCAAGAAATGAGCAGTAAATATACAAAGTAAGTGAAGTTTGATGATATTAATAATATTTGGAAAGATTGACGAGGAAGTACTAAAATTGATGTCCGTGGTCAATTTCTTTTGTAAACCCCTCTGAAATGCTTGAACAAAACGTAACATAAGTTTAAAGTGTTACGGAGTAATTTTTTTTTGTTGAGGTTAGACTTTCTAATTCTCTAAACATGCAATAATCAATAATTAACCAGTATTGGGCAACTATGAGTGGGACGTACGTACCATCCTTCCAAGCAACCAGAGCTGTTGGGTTGCCGCGGCGGAGGCGGCGGAACCGCGTACTGAGGGGCATACTGTGGCGGGGGGTATCCTTGGGCAGGGTACCCTTGCGGAGGGTAGCCCTGTGGTGGGAGGTACCCTTGGGCGGGAGGGTACTGCTGTTGTGGGTAACCTTGTGGGGGAGGGTACCCTTGTGCAGCAGCTGCATCTTTGTTAGGGTTGTAAGCATCTTGCGGATAACCTTTATAAATATATACTATATGCAATGAATTCCAATCGACGAAGATAAAGAAAACAAAGAATATAATTAATGAAAATTGTACTCTGGGCGGATATCAATGAATATATAATGCAAATCGAAACCAGACGTACGGAATTAAAACCAATAATAATAAGGATCATATAATTAATTAATGAGTAAATAAATAAAACATTATATAGAGCATGCATGTATACCTTGAGGAGGAGGAATGCCGACAGGAGGTGGGGGTTGGCCCTGATGATTGTAATAGCTCATTATATATATATATATATATATATATATATATATATATATATATATATATATATATATATTACTCCGTATGTTATTTATGCGGGCAGGCTATTAAGGGAATAGGAATGGATATATATGATGTGTATACAGCAAGTGATATGGATGATTGTTTTAAAATGGCACTGCCATTAATTAGCTTCGGATCAGATCTGCATGCAGACCAGTTATGCTACGTTCAAGTAGATCTATACGGATCTCTTTATACTTCCTCTCACCCAAATTAGTTGTTTAATAACTTTTACCATAAATTATCAGAAAAATATATTTCTTCCGTTCAGGTTTTATCTTAAGAAATCACCCCGGTCAAATAGGAGTAAAAAAATACTTCCTCCGTTCGAAAATATTCTTCCAATTTGGCTTTTCATAGTCTCCAACATTGCACTTTGACTACTAATATCTTTTTTTTATAAATAAGTATATTTTATAAAAATTTGATATTTGAAAACTACGTTTCAATAGGAATATATTGATACTAAAGTTATTTGATAATACAATGTATTTTTTCCATATATCAGAGTCAAAGTTTATAAACTTTCACAAAATTAAAAGAAAGTCAAATGGAAAGAACATTTTCGGGCAGAGGAAGTAACATTTATCTTCAAAATAGGAGTTCATGTTTTTACCCTCAAAATATGAGTTCGTAGTGTGACATTATGACACTATATAATTGCATCCTACTGTATTTTTTAGTACTATATATTGGTATTATTGACATTGTACTCCTATTTTGAGAATAAAGAATATAAAGCTCCTAATTTAAGGGAGAACTTTCTGGATAGGATAAAAAACTATGGAAATATCAAAATATGAGTCATAAGTCTTTGTCACATAGTAACTATCATACTATCACCGCCACACTGTCATCCGTCGCCTCCAGCCACCAGAGTGCCGTCGCGGATTACCGACGATTGACTCATCACATCGATATATTATACTATCATCACTTTTTCATCAAACTACCAACATGTATTCTTACACCACACTCCCATTACACTTCTATTTTGGTCTTAAGAGACTTAGAACTCTTATTTTGGTATTTTAATACTTTTTTGCTCCTATCCAGGGAGGTTTCTTCTAATTTAATACTTCCTCCGGTCCTAAAAACATTTCATGTTTTGAGTTTTTATTGGTCGATTAGTGACACTCTTTGAATATAAGTTATGGAAAAAGAATATTTAATTATAATGTAAATTCAATATTATTGGGTTCATCTTAGGATTTAGTTTTGATATATCAAATTTTTATATCATTTATTTATTTAGATTATATTTAATTTATGGTAAAAAAGTCTCACTTTTTCACCAAAAAGTAAATACAAAGAAATATTCTAGAAAAAATATTCTAACAGAAATCCTCCTCACAGATCTCCAAGATCTTCGTAGAGGTAACCGATTCTTAGTCTTCCTCTTCGTCGTCTTCTTCTTCTTCATAACTCCTCTCAGGGTGAGAATAATAACCAGCACCAAAATATTTTTTACGAAAGCTCTATCTTGGGTCCGTTTCAGAGGAATCAAATTCTCCTCCATCAAATTCTGAACTAGGTATTATCTCAGCCTTTGTCATCTCATGCTTAAGTGGAGGAGGTACTCCATTTGGACGACATGCATCATCCACTACTATAAAAAAGACTTTTTAAATCAGTTATTTTGACCCTTTTAAATCGGTTTTGAACCAATGCAAAAGCCAGCGATGCAAATGTTCAGGTTACTTTTTGCATCAGTTGTTAAAATCGATGCAAAAGCCTCTTCCCAGAATTGGTGCCATTTCTGGGAAGGAGCATTTAACCGATGCAAAAGCTTAAGCATTTGCATCGATTATTACAAAATAATCGATGCAAAAGCCTCTTCCCAGAAATGGCGCCAATTCTGGGAAGAAGCTTTTGCATCGGTTATTTGCTAATAACCGATGCAAAAGCCCATTTCCCATTTCTGGGAAGAAGCTTTTGCATCAGTTATTTGATAATAACCGATGCAAAAGCCCCTTTCCCATTTCTGGGAAGAGGCTGGGAGTTGACGACGGCGAGGCGGGGTAGCAGGGAATGAGGCGGCAGCAAGCACGGCGACGGCGAGGCTAGGCAACAATGGCAAACGGCGAGGGTGAGGTGGACGAGGGCGAAGTGGAGTAGGGCACGAGGCGACACGGGCACAGCGACGAAGAGGCTGGGAGTTGACGACAGCGAGGCAACGACAACGGCGAGCTAGGAAACAACGGCGAGGGTGAAAAGGACGAGGGCAAAGTGGATGACGGCGATGGCAACAACGAGGCGCAAGACGAGGAACACAGCAAGCTAAGGAGTTGGGCAACATCGAGGAGCACGACAAAGACGAAGAAAGACTTTGGAGGTTTTTTTTTCAAAATCGCTTAAGGATAAGATAGGATTGGATGTGTTTTATCAGATTCTTTTGGATTGGTTATTCCTAATAACCGATTCAAAAGATTTTTTGAATCGGTTATTAGGAATAACCGATTCAAAAGCTAAGCGGTACACGAATTTTTTTTACCATTTACATCGTTTGTTTTGCTTACCGATGCAAATGGGGGGATTTATTTGGTCGTTTTTGTAGTAGTGATCATCACTATCACTCAGTTATTGAAAAGTGGGCATTGAAGAATCGTGAGAAGACATCACATCAGGGAAGAGAAGAATAGATCTAAAGTAGGAAATGTTTAGAGAGTAATTTACTTAAATAAGACTAAAACATAATGACTTTCCCAATATATGGCCATATGTTTTTATTTCCCAATTTAGGACTTTAGGTCATTATAAATTAGTCATTATTCAAGTAAATGTCCATCATTATTGGACATTATTTCTCTCACTAAGACATTAATAAGTCCTATTTAGGGAATAAAAAAGTTTAAGTCCTAAATTAGAAAAGTCATTATATTTTAGTGCTATTTAGTGCAAATTTCACATAGATCTATTCTTCGAAGAAGTTTAGATCTGGATATAGAGAAGTAGTTTAGACCTAGAGAAAGGGGAGACGTGTAGATCTAGAGAGACGGAAAGGGGAGTTGGGAATCCGTGAAAAAGAAAGAGGGATGTGAGGTGAGTGAGAAGGGTAGGTTTGGATAAGGTTTGAGGAGTAGGCTTTGAGTGGAGGGGCAAAAATGACATTTTTAGAGAAATAAGAAGAGTTTTTAAGGACGGATAAAAAAAGAAAGAAGAAATGTTTTCAAAAATTTGTTATGCACTTGTGTAAATGCCGTAAAAAATTTAGTGTAGTGAAGTTTTATGTTTTTTAAAGTTATTCGTAAAATTTGATTTCAATATCAATTTGACATTGTAAATTCAAATGTATTTACTTAATATATCTAAGATTGAAATTTTATTTTATTTGATTACTTCATTTTACTATTTTATTTTTTTAAATGTTACATCAATAAAAAATAAAATACAACATTAAAACATTAAATTAAAAAAAACTTAACCGAACTACAGCTGTACCGTACTGGCCGACCGTCGGTAATGGTTATGGCTATTCCCTTCTCAAAACCGGGAAGTGGCAGTTCTAGAATCGTATCGGACTGTTACCGTGTCGAGTACTAACACTATGTTTGGTTTATAGAATTTGAATGGAGAAAAAGTGATTTACTTTTATTTTCCCACCGTAATGGAAGGAAACATTTTACTATACTTTCTCTAATGGAAGGAAACATTTTACTATACTTTCTCTAGTACATTCGTTCTTACATTCACTTTTTCTTCTAAGTTTCTTTTTTTTCTTCTCTCTAATATAAAAATAATAACATTAGATCCAACTAATTGGAAATTTTTAAAAATGATTCTTACATTCACCAATATACTTTACATATAAATACAATGAAATTAAATTTTACATTCACCAATGAAATAAAATTTTACATTCACCAAGCATATTGATGATCTAGGGGGGATGGAGGGTTAGAGTGAGCTTTGAGGGTAAGAATCATTAATTTTACCAACGCGGAACATAGGTGTCTTGGGTCATACTTTGACCTGACTTTCAAAGTCAACAGACTCTTGCCATGTTGAAAGTTATCAAAGATTAAAATTCGTTTAGTTTGACTAAAAAATAAAGTAGACAAATACACTAGGACTGGAACAAGTAGTAATTTAAAATATTTTGTTTTCAAAAAATAGATTTAAATAACTTATTTAGAAATTTACTCTCTCCGTTCTAAAATGATTTGCACTATTGAAACGACCTGCGGAATCTCGTAACATTTAAGTTTATTTTATTTACAAATAAATATAAAATTAAAAAATATAATTTATATATTCTAAAACCACATCAAAAATTCTATAAAATAAGAAGTGACTATAATATTTAATTTTATCAAACAATCAAGAAAAAAACAAACAAATAAAAGTTATTAAAAAGTAGTAATAATTTAATAGTTGTCTAAATCATTTTGGGAGAAAACAAGTATTTTTCTTAAATTTCATAAAGTTGAAAACAAACTTTAACACTATTATATTTGGTTTGTGAAATTCAAAAAGGAAAAAGTGTTGGGATTCCTCCAAGTCCCACACCGGATGAGTAGGAGTAAATGAACCAAAATATATAGGTTCACCCAACCCCATTAGTATGAGGCCTTTTGGGAAGTGTCCAAAAACAAATCCGTGAAGGCTTGGCCCAGAGCGGACAATATTATACTAATGCGGGGTTGGGGTGAGGGTACGCGCAGTCCCAACATGTGGTATCGGAGCCCAGGTTCTTGCGGGCGGGAGTAGCGGACTGTGCAGTGTGGAAAAATTTCGGTGTGACGGTGTAACTAGGACCAAGACCAAGAAAGAGGATCTGCAAGTGGTGCCTTGTGTCGAAAGTCTTCCCGACGAGAGGAGGTCGGGCGGCGCGTCCCGTGAAGTTATAACCACGGCGGTACAAGATGATTTGGCGGATCAAATGGTGTAGCCCAGCGAAGGAAAGATCTGCGGCGTGTCCCGCAAAGAGTGTGCGGCGGTGCAAGATGGTTAGCAGAAGAGAAAAAATTCTCTCATTTTGAAAATCAGTTTTCCTTCCCTTTAGTTCATTCCTACTTACATTCACTTTTCCTTCTACTTTTTTTTTTCCTCTCCACGAAACAAAAGAAATTATTTTTTCTCCCTTAATTTCTTTCTTTTTTATTTCTAAATTGTTTGAACCAAGAACAGAAACCAACAGAATCACGACTTATTCATTCATCATCACATTCAAATCTACAGTTGACAAAGGAAAAGAGGTGATATGATATGGATCCGATTCAAAATAAAAACACGAACTGCAAGCAAAAATACAGATCAAGCTAGTATCAAATTAAACAGGAAACCAAAGCTCCGGCGCCGTCGTCGTCAGAGCATTCGCCGCCGTTGCCGGCTTGGCGCGGCGGATTTCGGGTTTGGGGGTTAAATTAACAATTAGAGGAGGGGGTAGGTAACTAGGAGATGGGGACTTGTTGGAGATTCTTGTGGATGAGGCGGCGGGCCTTGCGGCTGCGGATCTCCACCTTCACGCTCTTCGTCCTGACGATCATCGCGTACGGCTTATCCCCCGCCGATTTCTTCCTCCCCAGTTTCTTCACCCTCGTCGTTATTGATTTCACCAGCCCCTCCAGCACTGATTGGTATTGGTTCCCCATATATATTATTATTATCACAGCACTTCTTTCAACTCTTTTTTTTTGTTTGTTTGTTTGAAGCTTAATGGCCCAAATATAATGCCGGAGGAGAATTATGGCCGAGCAGTTTCCACCGGCTATCTGTTTTTATTTATGGTGCTAATAAATAAATGGGTGTATGGCTCTATAAATTTCTCATCGTCATATATGTTGACTGTGGATGACATTGACCAGGTCGCGGGCCCACGTACGAAAATCGTCCGGTTCTTTGAACCACCATATAAACGCCGGACTCTCGAAATTAAAAAGTCAGAAGTCTTGACGCAGCGACTGACTTTGATTTATATCCGGGCGTTTATTGCATATTCCCTCTTAGTTCCTACTGAGTCAACATTATTCTGAATTATTCCCTATGTCCCAAATTATATTGTCTGTTCATTATTTATAGGGTCAAACTTGATTCATTTTCTTTCTCAAATTTCGTTAGCGATTTGATAATATAAAGTACTATTGTCACTACTAGTTTTGTATATCTTTTGATGTAGTATTTTAATATTTAATTTTTATTTTTTAACTATATACCATTTGTCATATAAAATGATTTGAAAAGAATTTCAGTCAAACATCATAAACCGAAATAGGCGTTATAAAATAGTACAGGGGATTAATAACATTCCATTTTTCAGTTTTCACTTACCAATTTATCAATAATGATCCAAAAGAGATACTGCATTACTCCCTCCATCTCAGAATGGACATTCACATTATTTTTGGAATGACGTTGGAGAGGGAGGGCCAAAAAACACATAAGAAAATACTCCGTATATTGATATTTTCTTCATCATTCCCAATTATATTGCTATATTCAAGTAATATTCTAGGAAGAGATTACTCAGGGCCGGTCCTAAGAATTTGATGATCTGAGCCGAGACGGGAAAAAAGACTCTAAAGTCTTTATCTTTATTGGTTGAACGAATTAAAGTGTGTAAACATGTGTATGACACACAAGATTAAACCACAATAAAAATGAAACACACAAAATGCAATAAGTTTTAAAACATTAAAAATATGTGCATCAAAAATACATGGAATATAGGAATTTAGGGTTTTAATAACTTATTAGAAGTCGGGTACATGTCGGGTCAGATCGGGTACAGGTTGGGTCAGTCAATTATACTAACCCAAACCCGACCCGATAAAAGTCGGGTTTGGTTTAAATTTTTTTGGGTCGGTTTCGAATATTTGATTTTTCGGTTCGGATTCGGATATTACGGGTCAGTAAAAGTCAGATTCGGGTAGAATTGCCATCCCTATGTGTAAAATAATTGCATTTAAATAACAATTAACCCACTAGTATTATAAAAAATGAGTAAATGACAAAATATTAATAAGGGTCCCCAAACCAATGCCTTGAAAACTAGATCAAATATCGATCTAGACGAGCTAGTAGGTCAAGGGTTAATCAGTTGATCTAGAGATTAACGACCCGATCAACTATAATTAAAAGAAATATTTTATATTACTCCCTTCGTCAGTATCGTTTCGAAACAATTGCGTCTCTTAAAGTCCGTCTCATTTCTATTAAAAAACCACTTTTATCCCTTACTTTTTCATACCCTACCTATCACATCATACCTTTTTTCTAATAATCTACCTATCACATCAAGGGTATTTTTGGAAAGTCAACACAAAATTATCCCTCCTTTTTTTTACCACTTTAGTCAAACCGTCCCAATCTTTATGGGACGGAGGGAGTATATTATTAGATGTCTTTAACTAATAAGGAATTTTAATTTGTATTTTTCGTTCACTCTTCCATCTTGTTTCCAATATAATATAATTTTGCATATATTGTTTCACTTTCTATTTTTTATTTGTATTATTTTCTTATCACTATTAAAGATAAATAATGAATATCTAATAAATAATCAAATAGTTAGGCAAATCTCATGTTTTTAAAAATTAAAGACTTGATAATGTGTTCTTATATAATTCATATGTAACATGTCACACTTATATTTATTTGATTGAAACGAGAAAAGTAAAAGAAAAAATTAAATTTAATATATTAAAGAATAATTAATAAATATTTCTTAGTTTGAATTGATGACAATAATTTTTTTTGTATTTCTTTTTTGAAAAAATATTTTTTTGGTATAAGTATTCAAATTAATTTTTAGATAAAACACAAAATATTTTAATTATTTTTCAAACTATTTTCATAAGCTCATAAAACAATTATATAAGATACTACTTATGTTTCTTTTTCTGAACAATTATAAGTTTTAATGAAATAACAAAAATAGGTATATATTTGTTACTGTGTGGTATATATTTGTTACTGTGTGGCATGAAATAACAAAAATAGATATTTATTACTGACTAAATACGGAGTATATAGTTTTTTAGAAAAAGTTGGGCCTCTAAAATCTTGGGCCCGGTCCGGTAGGGCTGCCCGTCCCACCCCAGACCGGCCCGGAGATTACTAGCATATTCTCTTCTTAGAACGCTGTTCATTGTTCCTGTGAACGCGCTAGAGGTTGGATATGTGGCTACGTTCTTTGCACCAATCCCTTCACCTACACAGTCCGATTTGTTTTCTACGAGAAAAAGGTATTCTTGTTTACAACAATTTATAGTTTTCGTAAGATGATCTTGAGTGGTATTGTGGTAGCGAAGATTGGGTTATAATATTTTGGTTTCTGCGATGCTATCCATGCTTGATTACCCAATAGTGGTATCGGAATCAGCTTACGAAATTATAAATTTTGTGGATTTGTTCTCGTTAAGGTTTTCGGTAATTGATAAATTTAGTCCAGATATGTATGAATTTCGAAAGTCACCCAAAATAATATAAAGTGTAAAAATATGATTCTGTACTTTAAATCATTCGAAAATACGATTTTTTCATTAATTTTGGATTATTTTTCTATTTAATCTATTAAGTGTAGTTTTGCAGTTTAATTGGTTAAAGTACAAAATAAATACATAATAAATTAGAAAAATTCTGGAATGTTAAAATATGATTTTAAGCATTCTGGAAACATAAAATTTAATTTTATAAATTAAATTCCTTATTTTGAGTATTGATTTGAATTTGTAATTAATTTGATCAATCACAAAATAAATACAAGATAAATACGGAAAAATGATTTTAAATATTTTGGAATGTTGAAGTAATATTTTAAGAATTCTGGAAAATTAAAATAAATTTTTGGATTTAAGTTTTGATTTTTCGGATTTAATTTGGTCTAATTCTTAATTAATAATGATTAATTACAATTAAATTTTAAAGTAAGATTATATGATTTTATAAATTTGAAAATATGATTATCATATTGTGTAAAAGTATTTGGGAATATATCCTAAAATGAAAATAATTATTTTATATTTATTAATAATTCAATTTCGATAATCTCAGAATTAGCGTGTTAATTATTAATTAAATATAAATATAATTTTTTTTCTGGAAAATTATTACATTGGAAATTAAATCAACATATCTTTGAAATACATATTTTTGGAAATTTTGTATTTACAAAATAATTTATAGAAATTATTTTTAGTTTCCTTATTTAATAATTGATATGTTCAAGAAAATAAAATATATCAAGATAGAAATTCAGTGATGGTCAAGAACCCCTGAGAATGAAGAATAATATAAGTTTTAGAGAGAGAGAAAGAGCAAAGTAGGAGTTTATTCGTTTCTAACTTGGATCCATTACAATGAGGGGTTTCACCCCTTTTATAGGGGATACAATACACATAGTCAAAGTTTCTCTGATCGAAATTCGTCGCCTAGCGGACGTCATCCCTGTTATGCATTGTCCCTTTCATCCCGTCGCTGTTGCGCAGTCAACGTGGCCGGTCGCTATCCGGCAGTCGCTATCACGGTCCCCAGCCGAGCTCGCTACCCGAGCCGAACCCATAGGGCGAGCCGAGTTCATGGGCCGAGCAGAGAAGATCCTCCACATGGCTGATGGGTCCCGGATGACGTGTCTTTTGGGGTCGTCCTCCATCATAAGCCCCCCACTCTCCGGGTTTCGTTGCAGTGAGCGATGGGACACGGGAGAGTATGGGCACTGTAGGAATGCAGCGCGGGGTCCACGTGGAATAGTTGGCAGGTCATTGGTGCCGTTTGGGCTTCGCCATCATGAAGGGATGCGTCGTTCCGTCTCCCTAGGCCAAGTGGCGGCCCATCATTACACCCATTCAACCCTTCCTCTATAAATACCCTCCCTACTCATCTCATTCCCCACTTTTAGAGAGAGAGAGAGAGAGAGTAAGATTCTTTGCCGTCGCTAGTCTTCCCGCTGCCATCCTTGTCTGTTCTCCGGCTACGCACTAGGTTAGTCCTCTTCGGCCTTGCTCTTCCATGTCTTCCCAATCCTCAGTCTTTCGTCGGTCCGCGTCCGAACGCGACGTCGAGGGTTCCGTCACAGGCTCCGTCCAGGAAAGCGACTCCCGCTTGGCCTCTGTTGAGGAGATAGTCGAGGCGGTTGAGATCCCTCTTCAGTCCGAGCCTCGCAAACAGAGGCGCACTGCCCTGGAGGACTCGGGGATCCGAGCGCGGAAATGCACCCTCACGGCTGAGGAATTTCGCAAGGCGAAGCGCTTGGCCTCGGCGCCAGGTGTGACCGTGCGTCGTCCCACCCCTGAGCAGTCAGTCTTTGATGCTCCTTCGGGTTTCTTCGCTATCCACCTCAAATCCCTCGAGTACGGGTTTCGTTTCCCCCTCCATCAGTTGGTCATAGACTTTTTCCAACATTTCGATCTTCTCCCATGCCAAGTCATGCCCAAATCCCATCGTTACTTGGCCGGGTTCCTTATCCGTTGCCAAAGGACCGGGGTTCGCCCCGATCTGGCTCGCTTCCTGTTGCTCTTCCAGGTTGGCGAAGTCATCTGGTCGGGCCAACTCCGACTTGGGTTCGTACGCCTCTATCTTCCAGAGGCAGGAGAGGCTTTTCAAGACGAGGAAGGACTCCGCCAAGAGTTGGAAGGGGAAGTTCATCTTTGTTTCTCTCTCCTCGGGCTCCCCTTTTCGTAAAGAGCCCCTCAGTTCCTTTCGACGCCGCTCCGCGTGTGTCACCTCGGACAAGATGCTCGAAGACGTAGAGACGCTCTGCCAAGGGGGGCCCTTTGAAGTCGGCTCGGTGGTGACGAATGAGGCACTAGCGGCACTCGGCTTTGTCTTCCTATCCTAGGAGGATACCCAGAGGAGCATCGAAGAAGGCCCCTCAGGTCAGTGCACTCTTACGCTCGACCGTCCGTGCGTCGCCACTTCCGGATTCCCGCTCATTCTCGCAGTTGTCCTTCCCTCACCACTTGGCTTCTTTGGTTTTGTGCAGGTGAAATCATGCTTTCCAGCGCCGAGCGGATGAAGCTCATGTTCCCGGACGCTCCGAGCGGCAACTCGCAGGCTCCTCCCTCGGGCGGCTGTCCCCGACTCCCCCCGTGAAGCCGACATCCAAGACGACACAGAAGAAGAGGAAGGAAACGGCCTCGGCCGCCGACGCTCTACAGGGGTCGGTGTCCCCCATGATGAAGGACTGCGGCCATCCCAAATATGTCAAGGCGGCCTTCCCCGCTCGGGTCTCCTTCACAGACCGGGATTACGTCCCGGAGACCTTCCTGCGCAGCTTTACTCCTCCAACCGATCGTGCCAAGCTAAAAGATGTCGACCGGGAGACTCTGGCCTCAGATACCTTCCATGAGCTGGGCTCGGTAAGTTTCCCTTATTACACCTTACAAATATAATTCATCTGTGGTGCTCAACCCTTTGTTATTTGCAGGCGATGATGCGCATGGTCGACATGAGTCAGCGGCTGCGCGCCAGTGTGGACGACCGGAGTAGGGCTTATGTTGAGATAGCCGACCTCAATGAGGCCTTGAAGGCAGCCAAGGAACAAGCTCGCCAGGCCGAGGAGCGGGCTCAGCAACTCGCGGAGGAGGCTGCTCGCAATCAAGCCGTTGCCGAGTTCCTAGCATCGGATGCATTTCAGGAGGAAGCCTTCACTCGCATGAATGATTTGCTCAAGGCATGGGGGCAGACTCCTGAGGGCCAGGCATTCGCCCGCTCCGAAGGAACGTCGTGGTACAACCTCGGTCTGTTCCGAGCGCAGCAAGTCCTCTCGGATAGGTTCCTCGCCGGGGAGGACTTCCCCGAGCCATGCGACAATCCTGATGAGCTCAATACTTCCAACTACTACCCGAATGGCGGGAACTCAGCCGGCGAGCAGCCGAGTGCCGAGTGAAATGACTTGAAACTTTGTTGTATTTGATGTACTGCTGCTCAAGACTTTGTTTTTTTTAATTCGGATATGTTATGACTTGATGATTCGTACGGATGTGCTATGCCTCTCTTTTGCGTTTAATCTTACTGCCCTCGTCGGTTCTTTGAACTTGCGAGCTCGCTCCTTCCCCCGCCCAACCTGAGCTCGTCTGTGCCGAACAGAGGATACCTCGGGGCTTGGTCCCTTTTGTCTCCTCGTTAACCGAGACAACCTTGGGACCTGGGACCTTTTGACCTGCCGTCAGTACGACCATCCCTGTGCTGCCACGTGTACCTTCCCTCTATGGCAACATGCCTATATAAGCGGGGGGGTCCTCACGATTTGTTCCATTCATATTTGAATTTCTCCAACTCTTGTCATGCCACGCTCGGCCCCCACTCCCCCCGATTCCAGTGAGATGCGAGGGGAGACGCTTTCCTTTGGTAGCTATTCCCTCGGGGGCTCTTCTGCCATACCGACCAAATCTGGGCCGAGCTCGACCCTGCCGCCCTCTCTGCGGGACTCTTGGGACTCGGACTCTGAGTTCGAGTCGGTGCACCCCGATCCTTCTGCCAAGATCCCGGGGTTCATCTACTATTCGTCGGAGGAGGACGAGAGGACCCTTTCTCCGTCGGCTCCGCCGGTCCGTCGTGAGGTCCTGTCGCCCGCGGTGGCCGAGGTCGCCGCCCTCCGGCTCCTCCCGCAGCAATCCCAAGCGAGAGCTCCGTGGCATCCCACCATCCGAGCCGTTGCTCCCTTGAAGACCCAGGCTCGCCCAGCTATGACGAGTCCACCGGGCACTCCGTCACGAGTCGGGCTCCTTCACCTTTTTACCCCCCACCTTGTCTTTGCGGGCGGGGGTGGAATTGTGGCATGCACTGAAGTCTACCCGTACTTTAATTGCAAGGTGTTTAATTGTTGTAAGGTGTTTGTGCCATGTATTTGCCCGTTTTCCGGGATGAATAAAATTTGGATTTGATTAAGTCTTTTTCGCTTTTCGCCATTAGCCTTAAGGACTGCATTCGGCTCTTCCCCTGAGGGGGAGTGCCGAGCACGAAGGTTAGACCTTCGTCCGGGAAGAACATCCGGACATGGTCTACGCTCGGCTCTTCTCCTAAGGGGGAGTGCCGAACACGAAGGTTAGACCTTCATCCGGGAAGAGCATCCGGACATGGTCTGCGCTCGGCTCTTCTACTTAGCACTAGTGCCGAACACACAGGTTAAGCCTTTATCCAGGAAGAGCATCCGGACATGGCCTGTGCTCGGCTCTTCTCCTGAGGGGGAGTGCAGAGCACGAAGGTTAGACCTTCATCCGGGAAGAGCATCCGGACATAGTCTGCGCTCGGCTCTTCTACTGAGGAGTAGTGCCGAATACGCAGGTTAGGCCTTTGTCCGGGAAGAGCATCCGGACACGCATGTTGGACCATTGCAAAAAATCCCATTTCATTGAATTCAATCATGGTGTTGCGGGTTCCCTTTCTCGGGCCCGTGTACATTCGAAATTCATTGATAAAACTTAACCGAGTTCTTAGCATTCCAAGTCCTTGGCACATCCCCTCCACTCGGCGTCTGCAGGCGGAACGTTGAGGGGCCTACCACTTCTTTGATGATGTAGGGGCCTTCGTAATTCTTGGCAAACTTCCCACCTTCCAGGGGGCGGCTCACGGACCTCTTGCGCAGCACCCACTCTCCTTCGATGAACCCCCGTGCGCGCACACGCCCGTAATGGTAGCTCTTTACCTTCCTTCCGTAATTCTCCGCTCGTATGAAGGCCGCTTCTTGTCTCTCGTGCACGAGATGGAGCTCGGCTGCCAGGGCTTCTTCGTTACGCTCGGGGTCGAAGATCTCCTCGCGGTGGGTTGCGATGATCTCTGCAAGGCGAAGGGGGTTTCTCCGGTCGCCCTTCTAGGCGTGGTCCGGTAGGTCCATAGGATGTACGGCAACTCCTCTGCCCACTCCCCTCCGCAGGCCTCCAACTTCCGCTTCAGCCTGTCGACTATCGTTCGGTTGGCGTTCTCGACCTGGCCGTTCGTCTGTGGGTACCCAACCGACGCATAGCTGTGCTTGATCCCCCAGCTCCCAAGGAAGTCGTTAAAGGGCTTGGACTCGAATTGTGTCCCATTATCCGTGATTATGTGCTCGGGAACGCCGAAGCGGCAGATGACTTGCTTTGCAAGAAACTTCTGGCATTGAGCTCCGGTGATACTTGCCAATGGGGCTGCTTCCACCCACTTAGTAAAATAGTCAATGGCTACGATGACATACCTCACGTTCCCAGTGCCCCTAGGGAGTGCACCCACGAGATTCAGCTCCGACCTCGCGAATGGGATGGCTGTGCTGATGGGGGTGTAGTTGGTTGAAGGCCTCCCTGGTACCTTCTGGAACTCTTGACACACTTTACACTTCTTTACGAACTCCGCGCAATCCTTAACAATTGTTGGCCAAAAATATCCTTGAAGGGTTATCTTTCTTGATACCGCGTACGCTCCTTGGTGGGCGGAGCAGATTCCGGCGTGCACCTCCTCCATGACTTGTTTTGCTTCGGCTGGTCGGAGG